GGGATCCAAAGCGGAACATCCAGATTCAGTCACAGTTTTGTTCTATCTAGGATCAACCTTGTGAATTCTCAAGCTTCCTCTTTCCAATACGTATTCAAAATGGACAGTGATTAATATGTATGTATGTAGCATGGGTATGTGTGTTATGTATGTGTAAGGGTAAAATATACTTCCTTTTGAGAGCAGGCAACAGAAGTTCATTTTTAATGTGTGCCAGTGTGCTCACAGTAAAAAAAAAAAACAATAATGATTATCTTTTCTAATAGCTGCATTTTTCTAAATGCTAGAGAATAGCCTGATTCAAAATCAGTGCTCGGAAGTATATCCAGGAGTGTCCAGAAAAGCAAAAAGTTGCATCACAGGTCATGTTCTGAAGCATCTTCCTTGAAAGTAGTAGTTATTGGTATTAGAACTGAATTTATATGTGAAGCTTTATGCTTAAGAAACTATTAGAATGTATTTGGATGAACTCCAAATTCCATTTGGGAGTATCAGTTTGAATACAGCAGTTCTAAATACTACATTTTAGAGGAGCATAATTGAACACCGTGAAATGTAACATAGCTTTTTTTGTTCCTAGATGAAGGCTAGAATTGCAGCAGATATTGATGGAAAGACCTCCCGCCTTTTATGGATTGGTTTAGCCTTAATGTCTACTCAGGGTGGAGCCCTGGCTTGGCTCACCTGGTGGGTCTACTCATGGGACATTATGGAACCTGTTACTTACTTTATCACATACGGAAGTGCCATGGCATTCTATGCATACTTTGTACTTACTAAGCAGGTAAGGAGCTTCTTAAGGTGATACATACAAAAATCAGTTTTGACTGCTTGAAATTTGAAACATACATGCACAAGGCTTTGAAGTATTATGCTAAGGATCCTTAACTTTTACTTTTGAGAGAACAGTTGTAGGGCATTTGTTTCAAAAGTTCTGCAAATTGTTCAGAGTTCAGTTGATCAGTAAAGACACAAATGCTTCAGGTTCTGCAAGCCTGAAAAAAATCACCTGCTGTTTATTTTAATATAGCACCTACTTAAAGTAATGCAGTTTATGTATCTTGTGGATGCTTTGCAGGAAGGAGTGATTATCTTAGTGGATTCAGTTCTTTTTTTAATTGGCAGTCTTTTTAACAATACAGCCCTTGTTCAATTATCTGGGGACACTAATGCTTTAAAGAAAAATAGGTTCATCAAAGTCTTGCTATCCCTGTTCCCGTTTCCTTTCATGTAAAAATCCTTGAAAGAATTTATTCTGTGGTAATCATAATATGAGGTTATTACCTTGTAGATCAGATAGGAAACACAACCAGGTGAATTGATTCTATTTTATTATAAATTGAGTTGAATAGAATCTTGCAAACCTAAAAATAAAATTTCCTGGCTCCTTTACAAAGTAACAAACTAGGGAGAGCATCTTCTGAGTCTCTTGTAATGAACATTACAGAGCTGAGGGCTCTGCTCTCTTTTATCTGACCATTCCCTAGGCAGCTTCTCTTCGCCCTGTCTCCCAAGGTCCTTCCCACATTGCCATATCTAAAAACAATGTTCTAATATTATTCAAGATACATTAATTGTAAATAAGTATTATTTGTACAGAAATCTGATCGTGCAAATCAATCCTTAGTAAATCCTTAGAAACCCTTTCTAAAAATTTTAGATATTAGTATTTGAGATATTGTTGAAATGATACCCCACAAATAATGTTTGTTATAAAACATTTTGTATAAACCAAGCTTATAGCTTTGTTGAGCACAATTAGACTTTGGTTTATTGTGTATGATGATTAAAATCTGGTTTAATGAAATATACAAGTCCACTTAATGCCTCATTTCATTTTAATTCAAGGACTAAGCTTGAAAGCGATTTTGTATTCTGCAGACTTCCATGTGCAAACCAGGGGAGATTACCTGTGTGGTTGATTAATTCTCCCATGAGCTGTTCAGAGCATCCAGTAGTGGACCCTTTGGCAGAAGAGTTCTGCAACGGGTCCACAGGGACCAGGAGGGGATTCCAGGCCAGATGGAGTCCCTCCCGTAGGACAGGCCAAGCTTTGGTATGTCCCACTACTGGATGCTCTGAACAGCTCATGGGAGAAAGGGCGTTGGTACTTACCCGACACGCCCGTTCTCTTTGAGCTATGAAGAGCATCCAGCCCCACCCTTTTTCTGTCTGGTGGGGTCCTGTTTCGGCCAACGAATTGTTAGGGCATTGAGGACGAAGGCATTTATTTCTCTCGTCTTCGCCAAAACTGGGGAATGCTGGGGAGGAGTCCCAGGGAGGAGGAGGAGGAGGAGCATTCCACAAATTAAGCCCAGCCTACACATGCAGAGACTGAAGCACCTCCCACTACTGGATGCTCTTCACAGCTCAAAGAGAACGGGCGTGTCAGGTATGTACCAACACCCTTTTTCAGGGTTATTGAATTAATTTTTTCTTGGGTTTTTCCCTTGTCATTTAAAGGATTATATTTACCCAGATGCTCGAGACAGGCAATTCCTTCACTATTTTCACCGGAAAGCTAAAAGCGAGAACTTCAATATGCTTCTATATAACAAGCTAAAAGAGGACCTGGAAGAGGTAATTAATTGCATAGATCTGTCTAACTGATTTATATGAACTTCCCATCCAACTCTGGATGGTTCACAACAATAGGAGAGTACATATTGTATGCACAAGAGATCATGGAAAAGAGCTTCAGTGTGTTTTGAAAGTCAATTATTTGCAGCCATGACTGGCAGTTTTACTCCTTTTTCTTTTGTACAGAAAGCAGTTTAATCTTAACTTCTGAAAAGTATGCTTTTAAATGCATATTCATAGTCCTCCAGAAGAAAGGAAAGGAATCGTGTTACATTGTGGGAGTTCTTCCAATTCCATCTGTTACAGCAGCTGCAGTCAGTGTATTAGGCATGAAAATTTGAAATCTTACAGATTATCTGCTTTGCTGCCTGCAATTGTAAACTAAACCTGCCAATTTACTCAGATCTTCCAGTTGATGAAGGATGGCTTGGAGAGTAATCTAGTTATAACATTTGTTCACAAAAATCACAGTCATTAAGCCCAGAAATGATAATCTAGCCAAAGTGTTAAGTCTGTCTTGCACAGATTAATTCTGCTGCTAGTAACTGCAGTTAAGATACCTTTTTCAGGCAGAGAAAATACTGTCCCGTGCCACATAGCACATTTACCCTGCGTCAGGACCTGCCAAACAATTGTGGATTTAATGCAGAATAATTACAAAGTCTCTTGCTTCCTCAGCACATTCATTCGTCTTTTTGTATAATCATTTCCTTTCTGTTACTTTTTCTTCTTTGCTCTTTTAAGTATTTGAAACGCACTTCAAAATTATGGTTTAGATCCTACAGAGGTAGTCTGTAATCATGTATGACTAACACGTTGCATGTTGCAAACTCAATTCAACATTTGCAATTGATTATAATTCAATTAATTAATTCCTATGTTTCTCCTTTATTGAAGAATAATTTATTGGTACGTATTCTGGCTAAGTTGGTCCAGCATCCACAGAATAGAATGTATAGAAAAGTTTATTTCAGAGTGTCTTGCTGATTGCTAGCTAAATCCATTTCCTAATTTTAAAAGTCACATTTAAAATAAGATATGTACATTCAAGTTAGTAGGGTGCCCTGGTTAACAAAATGCATAATTGAAGAATGTAAACTTTGATGGAATCTATTTACAACTATTTAAACCATAAACTCATCACTTTTTTTTCTTTTTACACTATTAGGTGGAAGAATCCTTGAAACGACTGAGGAACCCCTTACAATTACAACTTCCAGTGCAAGAAATCAATGACAAACATTAATTTTAAGTTTCAACCTGTTGAGTTCCCTCAAAAAAATCGCAAACTGGACATTTTGACCCACTATATTAAAGCTGAATATAGATTTTATAAAAAACAAATAAACCCAAACCATACTTTTTGTATATATCGTTTCTCCACAATATTCGAGTTTAGAAAAGAACAATCAACTTAATCTTGGATGACCAATCCATTCTTAATAAAAAAACAATGGTTTTAAAGGATGGTTTTATTTTGGGATTCCTATATTTGAATGTAATTTTCATAATGAGCTAAATAAAAACAGATACTTGTCTTGGGTGTCTTCTGAGTGTTCTGTTTAGGATGTTAAGAAAATGTTCCTTTCACACTTGCACAAAGTATCTCAATGTTGTAATGAGTTACATATGTAGCACGCATAGCACCTGAAAGATTTATGACAACAGGTTTCACAGGCACAAGTTCATCTTTATCAAATAATAATAATAAAAGCTGATTTGCATGGAAAGTAATGCAAATGTTTCAGTTAAGTTGCAGTAACTCCACAAGTTAGCAGGAGCTGCTATAACTAACTGAAGGAATCACAATATCATATTGGTCGCATAATACACTTTTCCAAAATGTTAAAGTGGGAGGGGAACAATTTATACAGTACAAACAGATTAAGAAAATGATTCTCACAAGACAATTACTATTTATGTTGAAACAAAAGAATAAAAATTTAACCATTAGTACAAAATATCCATTATAACATCCATTATGGAATGTAAACCTAAAAACAGCTAACTTTAACTGTTCCTTTATTATCCCAATGTCAAGTCTGAAGTTATTTTTAAAACTCCCTGAGGGTAGAAGAATATCTAACAATTTCAAAGGCTGTATAAAAGTATTTCTGCCTGAGTTGTTAAACTTCACAGAAGTTTTTTTTTTTCAATTGTTAATGTAGAACTTGTATTTCTGTTTACCATTTCGAACCTGCAATTGTTGGCTGTTATTTTTATTACATAGATCTTTATTCACCATCTCCTGAAGATCTCAGTTTAGCTAAAGTAATAGACCATATATTAACTAAACACACCTTTTAAATTATCACTACAATTCTATATATCTATTCAGAATCAACTCTCATTGAGTTTAACGGAGCATATTTTAGATAAGTGGATATAAAATTGATCTATTTTAACAGTACTGTGTTTTGTTTTTTGCTTTGAGTCCTGCAGAGCACACCACCACTGCCCACCACCTACAAAGCCAAAAATAATTATTACTCTACCATGCAACTATGATTTGGGGTAGAAGTACAGTTTTTTAGTTAACATTGAAGCAAAGCAAGGGATCTGCTTTTTCCCTATAGCACCAATATCTTTGCATACATCTACCCTGCGATGTGATACCTTCCTGTTAACAAGCATCAGTAATTCTGTGAATTCCAGGGAAGCACCATGCTTTCGTATCATCTCGCACAGATCTTGAATATACCAAGAACCATATATAGTCTCCCGATGGGAATAGAAACCTATTGGAAGAGGAGGGAGAAAGGATTACATTACTGTGTCAAGAAATCACCTTTAGCTTTCGACTTTTATTTATTAAGTAACCAAAACAATGTTGGGGTAAAAGTTTGCTTTTTTTCTTTTTTTTTTTTTTTGAGCTTTTTTCAATGTGCCAGGATTCTGAAATTTTTGTTACATTTGTAGTATTTTTCTTGGCAAAAATAATTGGAGGATTTTTTTACGTGTCCAAAAATTTAACACTCCCCTCTTATTAACTATGTTTATATAAGTAGTACTAGCTGATCCAGTTCTGCTATATTTCATTAATAAACACTGCATCTAGTGAAGTCCAATTATTTTAATGGTGGCCTTTGTCAAGCTGAGCAAGGAAGATGATAAATGGCCATAAGAGAATGTGTTCCCAATGGCATTCTCTAAAGTGAAGTTAAAAAGACTGGGAAATGAATCCTTACTGTATCTGCATTTATTTGAACATGCCAAGCCACAAACTAGTAACCCCATTTTAGCCTATCCTAGCTGGTATAAGTCTTTCATAAATTTGTCATCTAAATATTATCATCAAAGTTGCATTCATAAATAGAGTAGGGACCAATAGTCCTATTTCTGCACTCATTGCAAGCATCTGCAACAAGGAAGTATTAGAAAGCTGAAAACCAAACATTACAGCTATAGTAGTACCTTATTTGGTTGTGAGCCCCCTAGAGTTGTGTCTAGGTAAAACAGGCAGGCATATAAATTTAATTTTAAAAAAATAAATCCCTAAAGATTTATTTCTTGTAGGTATTTAGTTTGCTATTTAGGCAAAGATAGTTAATATGTTCTCTGATGTGATGGAAATATGGATAGTTGACACCACCCTGGTTGGAAAGAAGTTCCAGTAGTGATTTATACCAGGGGTTGCCAACCTTTTGGACCTCGGGGACCATCAAACTCATAATTTTAAATCCCGCAGACCACTAATAAAGCTGCCTGGGGAATTCTGGGAGTTAAGTCCACCAGGCTTAAAGTTGCCAAGTTTGGATGATGGTCGATATGGTCAGACTGCTGAACTTCACTTAAACACCGATTTTAGCAGCTCGGAACCCCTGCTTTTTCAGATTTAGGGAGGAGGAGATGTTCTCGGGATACATACAGCTGCCAGGCTTGTCACCGAAGCAGCACCTGAGTTCCCAAAGAATGGAAAGCAAAACACTAACCCCTCCCGCTCCTTGGCCGAAGTTGCAATCCCGTTGCAGAGGCCACCAGTCTGCTCCATGGCTGTGAGAATCCTTCCATGGGCAGGGAGCAGTTTCTCCAGCCATGCCTTCTTTGTTGACACGGGGGTGGACATTTGGAGAGGATCCCTAACTTGGGCCGAGAGGCAGAGTGTGTGTGTATGACCAGATCAATCCAGGTGCAGTGGCGGAGCGAGCACTGGGCTGCTCAACAGCAATGGCAGCAGCACTCTGGAAGCGAGAGCGAAAAAGCAGCAGCAGCAGCAGGTGGGACTTTGCCCGCCTGTCCAGCAACTGCAACGCGCTGCCTGGGCACTTTGCATGGTCATTTTCCCTTATTCCCTTGCTTCGCCCCTTGCAGACAGCTGCTGGTAAGAGCTGGGCTTACCAGCTCTTCCTCTCTGCTGCTCCGAACTTGCCTTCTTCCTTGGGGAGTCATTTCCCTCACCTGCTTTGGTGTCCTTTCTCCTCCCTTTTTTAGGGCTCAATCCCTTTTCTGCTGTTTCCTTCCTTCCTTTGTCCGAAAGAAAATTCCCCACCCCTTTTTCCTACTGGTTGATCATTATTTGGGATTGCAGGATACTGTCTCCAGCTTCATTCTCAGGAGGAGAGAGAGAGAGAGACTTTTGGCTTCATGCAAGGAAAGCAGCAGAAGAGTTTCTCTCCCCCAAACTCCGTCAGAAATGAGTATTTGCCGGCACAACCTCTTGGAGCAGGATGCCTTGCAGGGTCCCAAAGACTCATTTCTGGCAGAGTTTGGGGGAGAAAAAGAAAGACTTTTGCTGCTTTCCTTGCGTGCAGCCAAAAGCAGAAGAAGAAAGAAGCAGAAAGAAGCAGCCTGGTGGCCAGGCCAGGCGTGGAATGAGTGGGGCAAGTTCTCCCCCTCCACCCTTTCCCCCCTCCCTTCACTACCTCGTGTTGTTCACAATGCAAGCAACACAAGTCTTGTGTTCCCAAGGGCCATGTGGGCGGCACAGCCTTGTGTTCCTGCGCAGCCTGGATTAAGTGCTTTGGGGAGTGCTTTGGGGTGACATTTCTCTGCGACCACTAAAATTTTCTCACGGGCCGCCGGTTGGTGACCACTGATTTACACAACTAATGGTAAGTGCTCCACCATTTTTTGCAGATTCTTTCTATCTGACATTTATTTACTGATTAGTTTTGAGGAGGTTTGTTTTTATTAGCTTGGGAGGAGTATTAAATACAAAAACACTTGGTTGTCAATATCTATTCAAAGTATAGCATGAATAACCAATAAATGATACATCAAAGCAACTTTTCTTTAAGAAACTATTGCTTGCTTGATGAGGTTAAACATTGTTTTCTTCTAGGACAGGGGTGTCAAACTCGCATCATCATGTCATGTGACATATTGCAACTTTTCTTTGCTAAAATGGAGGTGGGCGTGGCCAGCACGTGATGCATCCGGCCCACGGGCTGTCAGTTTGACACCCCTGTTCTAGGATAACACTGATTTTGTTTACCTTCTGCCACAGAATAACACATGAGGAAATCAGCACCAGCAGGTAAAGTATAAATTGCAGCAGAGTCAACTTCGGTTTCATTGACAAGTGAGCGTTCTGTAACGCTATCCACCGTATCGTGAGTAAAGACGGGTTCATCATGCTTATCTCCTCTGCATGCCTAAAATTAGAAATAAAAGAACTGTTGGAAATGAAATGAAAGTTCACTTAAATGATTGAACATATAAATGCCTTTAATTATGCCCTGCTATAGATACCAGTGATGTTTTGATTTTTTTTTAAGATGAAGTCTATTACACAAGGACCCTTGTGTAACATAAACAAAATCTAACGTGATTTTGGCACTTCTTCCACCCATCAATTTTCCTACTACAAATTGCCAGTCATAGACACAAGTTTTTACACACTTTGATGGTAAATCCTCAGGGAAGTTTAGGTTACATAGGTATAAATATATGAAAGTACATCACATTTTGACTAAATCCACCAAATGTTACACTTCATGTTTGCATTGTTTGCATTTAAAAGTGATACCTTTAATATATAGAGGTCGATTTCTCTCTTTCAAGAAGATTGATTTTAATCTCAGCTGTGGAATCAAGAACTCCGCCATCTCACCTGAATTACAAATATTTTTGGCTTCCCTATCAGGCTAGGGCATTTGTCACCTCTGAACATATTGGTCAGATTTTGTATCTGTATTTTAGCATCATAAGCGTAAACATGGTTATCTTCTCCATGGCTCAAGAAAACGCACATAAAGCAATCCGCATCTTCGTGTTGCTCTTTGGACACTACAAAAATAATAATGCAATTTATCTACACAAAGAAGTTATTTTTATATTGGTGGCTATTAAAGTAATGACGTGTAACTTCCTTTAGCTTGCTCTGGACATAAATCAAACCAATCGAGTTCTCCCACATGCGAAACAAATAGTTAATTTTATTCGGAGCTGGATTTAGAAACTGAAAATTCAATCAACACTCCAATACTCCCTGGTGCCTACTGCATCATTAAAACCATCTCATCAGATGCCATGATTGCTTACTTTTGAGACCGTAGCCTCTTGTGCTTTTTCTGCTGTCTTTTAAACAGCAGATAGCAGCAAAGACATCTGAAATGCTTATTTTCCACCTTATTTTCTAAAAATTAGAGATGTGCAAAACTCACCAAATGGGAAATGAAACGCTTCAGAAAACAAATATGCTGAATTAACTTTGTTCTGGACCAGTTGCCTGAAGTAAATTCTCTGAACTGGTGATGATCTAGAATGATCCACTCATGTCATTCCAAGCGAAACAGGCCTGTTTCACTTGGAATGACATGACTGAAATAGCTCAAATGATTTCCAGTTTAGCATAATTTACTTCCATAAACCACTGAGCTATTAGAATAACACAATCTGGAGAAGGTTCAAGATGATTTGGAAGATGAGCAGAATGGTCTCAAATTTTCCAAAACATTCTGTTTTTCAACTGATGAATTTTGCATACCTACCCCTAACTAAATTCGCTCTAAAATTGTTAATTTTTAGTTTTAAAAATGAAAAACATTACATTGTAAAAACAAAATATATTTTTTAAAACAACTTAAGATGTTGAGAGACAACACTGGCTTATTATACTGTAAACATACAGTATAATTCAATAGTTAATAACAAATATGATAGGTGGAATGTGAATAGCTTAGCAGGCCAGGCCTGGGAGAAAAAAAAGATCTTTCTATTTGGTTGGCTCTCCCACAGTTCAATAAATTAAATCTTCATTAACCAGAATTATTTTCTTCGCTAGGAACATTAATATTAAAAATTTTGCCAATAAAATATAACCACTAGCCAAGCATCAACATCAAAAACTTGCTTTACCTACCATTATAAATGTTCTGCAGCACTTCTTCTGCTCTAAGATCATCAAAACATTTCACTTCAAATCCAAGTTCAGTCAAGCTATTTTAAACAGAACAATATTTCACTCCAGGATCATGTTCATATATTCTTAATGACTCACATATTAATATTTAGATCTTTCAGTGGATGCAACATTATCTAATGTCAAGCTTTAGCAATTTACCAAAACACCACTTACCGCATTCTTATGCTAGGAGTCCTCCAGAAAAAAGAAGAATCTACTTTCAGAATCAGATTGAGTTCCAAATTAAAATATAAATGCAACTAAAACACCATATTTAGTTAATATGTTTAGTTTAACCATATTAAAAATATACAATATTTAATATCAATAACATTCTATCTGTAACCTTAAAACACCCAATGTTTAAAATCTGTACATAGTACAATTAGGATTCGAAAAATATTTTGAGAAAATAATTCTACAAGTTGTTTCTTTCATTGCCTAACCCTAACCCTAATATCTCAGCATATGATCTTCTGAAATATTGATCAGGAATATTTAAAGACGTGATCTTTCACATAAGTGCCCATGTCCTGATTTATAAATTATATAATCAATAATGAAATTGCACAACTATTCACACTGTTGTAATGAAATAAATAGCATTCAAATAGACATTTAGTATCAGCCTATGATACTGTAGATCAGAGGTATGTTTGAGGAAGCCATGAGATTCCTTCAACATTTTTTTTAGAAATCCTACATTGCAAAAGCTTTTCTTTAACATAATATAGACAGACTATTTCTGCTTCATTTCTCCTTCCATGCTCCATTATCCTTGGAATGAAAGAGATAACTTGGGTGTGTTCCATACGCCATTTTTAATCTATTTAATATATTGTCATGAGCCTGGATAGGGTCCAAGTTAAAAAAAAAAAAAACTAGACAGCTGGGTTGAGTCAGATATGTGAGCGTAGGGTTGATTCTGCAGATGACAAGTCTGAAACAAACTCTAACCCATCATGAGTACCACAACTGACCTGAGCTCAAAGTTGTTCCATTTGGAGGCCATTTTCCTGAGAACTTTCCTCCAAACAGTGTATGAATGGAAGAGAATATACTAAAATAGTATTTTTATTTATTTTAAATATACTTTATTAATCTTTTATAATTTTAAAAAGTCAAACAACAACAAAATAGATCTTATATCGACAGTTTGTGACATTTGTCTTATATTTTAAAATGTATATTTTGTGCATTATTTACAAATATACAAAATTTTGTGAATATAAATCATTAACTTATCTAGTACTTACCTCTATTTACAATCCATTTATCTAACTAAAATAGTATTTTTTTTAATGGTGCTAACTTTAAAATCTGGATTTCAACTGCCAGAATTCCTCAGCCAATATGGTATCTGGGGAATTCTGCGTGTTGAAATTCACACATTTTAAAGTTACCAAGTTTGAGAAAAATTGTAGTAAAGAATACAGGCAGTTCTCAACTTACAATCAAAACTGAGCCCAAAATTTCCAAGATAGTTGTTAAGTAAGTTTTGCCCCAAGTTTTATGACCTTTCTTGTCACAGTTGTTAAATGAATTGTTGCATCATTAAATTAGTAAGATGGTTGTTAAGTGAGACTGGCTTCCCTACTGACTTTTCTTGTCAGAAGGTTGCAATAGGTGACCATATGATCCTGGGACACTGCAATTGTGATATATATGAGTCAACTGCCAAACATCCAAATTTTGATCACGTGACCATGGGGATGCTACAATGGTCATAAATGTGAAAAATTGTCGTAAGTAACTTTTTCAATGCTGTTGTAACTTAAAATGGTCAGTAAATGAATGGTTGTAAGTCAAGGACAATCTGTACAGAGGAGACTTTTCTGTCTGATCTTGCTTTGTGATGGAGAATGTTAACTTCAGATAACAGATAATCAGAGTTGGAAGGGATCTTGTAGGTCATCTAGTCCAATCCCCCGCCCAAGCAGGAGACCTTACACCATTTCTGACAAATGGCGGTCCAATCTCTTCTTAAAAGTCTCAAGGGATGGCGCTCCCACAACTTCTAAGGGCAAGCTGTTTCATTGGTTGATTGTTCTCACTGTCAGAAAGTTTCTCCTTATTTCCAGGTTAAATCTCTCCTTGTTCAGTTTCCATCCATTATTCCTTATCTGGCCTACAGGCACATTAGAAAATAGCTTGACCCCCTCCTCCCTGTGGCAGCCCCTCAAATATTGGAAGACTGCCATCGTGTCTCCCCTGGTCCTTCTCTTTACTAGACTAGCCAAGCCCAGTTCCTCTAACCGTTCTTCATATGTTTTAGCCTCCAGTCCCCTAATCATCCTGGTTGCTCTTCTCTGTACTTTTTCTAGTCTCAACATCTTTTTTATAATGTGGTAAACAAAACTGGATACAGTACTCTAGGTGTGGTCTTACTAAGGCCTTCAGTTTAGGATTGTCTTTTATTTGGGTAAATATGTTAATTCAAGCAACAGAAGTTACTTTGCTGGTAATTGAAGGGATGGAAAATAATTTATTGAATAACCAAGGGTCAGAAATCTGTTGCAAAATCAGCCAATCAGCTCTCATGGAATACTTTCTTTCTTGACACACAATTTCTTAAAAAATGGAAGTAGTTTTAGAAAAGTCATTGGATTTGTCTTCTTCATTGTAAAAGAAAATACACTGAACAACAACGATTCCTTTACCTGCGGTTCAGATTGTCTCGGTCAGCACAAGTACCACGTCTCTCCGGTAACATTAAGTGCCAGAAAAACCTCTCATGATTAAAGATCAAAGCTAGTCCTCTTCTCTTGTGTTTCATTTTGTATTCCACTGATGGATCAAACAGCTGGTTGAGCCTGCAAAAAAAAAAAAAAAAGGTAGCCCAGTTAATAAACTTGGGTCTTTCTCATTCATACAGTATAAACACATCTGTACAGTTAAGAAGTCAGTGGTTAGGATTCAAAGAACTGTACAATTAGTGCAAATTTTGAATAATTTAATTTGATTTACAAGAAGGATATCCTTTACCATTACAGGTACATTTTTGGTACCTACCTACATACCAATCATGCTATTCCCATTTAGGATAAAACATTACACACAGTACAATAAGGCAAAAGAAATATTAAGCCAAAGAAATTAAAGACATAAAAGAAAGAAAAGTAGTACAGCTAAAACTACATTATATCCACACCATTCATCATAACTTTTTTTCCAAACTACTTGTCTAAGGATTATTCTTTATATTATTCATGCTGTCTTGTAGTCTTGTATGGACTGCACTAGTAGAGGCTAAACCAATTTCATTGTGTACCTGATGTACAATGACAATAAAGGCTTTGAACTTGGAAACTATGCTTCTTTCTACCGTGTTCATACTTTGTTTCACATATAGCCTTTTGTTATTTAACTTTGCTAATTGCCTCTTTTTAGGATCGTTACCCCATGCAATCATGGTCTTCTTTTTCAAGATTTCCTTCACGTATTTCTTTAGTGATGATTCCGGTTCATTCTCTTCATGTGGTCAAATAATTTAAATATACTTTCATAAGGGCATTCAGTTTTGTACTCTATCCACATTCATTCATTGAGTATGTGGCCCAAAGGCATCCATCAAATTTATGGTGATTAAGGATGGATTTGAATATTAGTCTCTATGATCTTGGTCCAATACCTTAACCAGTATTTCTTATTGTCTCTTTTCCTGTCCTTATTTGGCAATGAATAACAGATAGTCTTCTTACTCTGAAGATTTACATGGTTTTTTATTATTATTTTTATTGTATAATACACAGATTCTATTTTCTCTGACTTGTTTATTGCTCACTGGTATTTATCATTTTTATTGTTCTTTTGTATTTACTATGTATATAACACTGCAAAAACCATGGCCTTAAAGTGACTTAAAACAATTTCCAATCAACAGCTAGATCCAAGTGCATAATTTAACTTGGAAATTTCTGGTTGTGATTATTTCCCCCCCAATAAACTTAAGAATAATACAAGAACAAAGTGTATGTGAAGGAAATGGAAAAGAAATTAAGTATACAGGTATAACACCTTTTCTGTTTGATATCAGACATCTGATCTGAAGCGAGATTTGATTTCAAAGTTTTTATAAAGTCTCACTTTAAGAGTTGCATTTGAAAAAGAAGGTCATACCTTCTTTCAAGCACTCAAAATACTTGTATCCAATGGGAAAAAGTGCAACACTGATGGATAGCTGTAATTTTAAAAGGAACCTGATTTGGTTATAAAATCAATTATCCAGCTAAGAGATCAACTGATCCTAAAATGGTTATTTTTATTATAAGCTTCTTGGAGTAGAGCCATACAAGATCCACAAATAATTACCTTCCATCAAAAGCATCTGTTTCACTGAAGTTTTGCTGATCATCTGCAAATAGAAAACAATTCAAACATAAATAAATCAAAATAATTTCGCTTCTACATAAAAAATGTGCACATATACGTAATACATTTACATGTCCACTCTATTTTTAAAATATACTTTAAAGATGTTTTCACTGCAAAAGCACATTTTCTTAGGGAAACATGTTTTATGGAAATCCATAAACAAACAAAAAATATAAGTGATCAAAAAAATAAGAAAAGACCCAAACTAAAAGATGTACTTAATTTACTTTAAAACATGCAATCTAATTTTACATAGTGAGAAACAAAAATTGCAGTCCTTCACTATCCTGACATACAGTTAAATGACCCAATTAATCCACAGAAACTAAACTGGATCCCAGATAGCCTTGTTTGAGATTTAACTAATCACTCTTCCAGTCTACTAATTCCTGTATGGTATGTAAACTCCTTTGGTTAACAGCCTCTCCCAATATCATTTACTGAACTAGAGAAAGAAGTCCTGCAAAAAAGAGACCAATATAGGCCCATCTCTGCTGCCATTTGTTTTTCATCTCAGAGCCATATGGGAGGTGGGAAAGGGGCAAAAATGATACACTTATGTGCCTGCACCCACAATTCTGGCCCTGGCGCTGTCAACTAAATTGGTGCCAATGTGGACTTTTAATTATTTGTTCCTCCAAGAAGAAAAGAAATTAAAAGCAAAAATCTCGGAGAGAAATTTCAGCTTACCAAGTCCCATTTATGAGTATCTATGGGGAGCAAAAACATGACCAGTGGCGAACCAGTCTTCCCAGGTGCTAATTTTTGTGTGCTGCTGGGCTGCAAGAGTTACTGAATTCACCATGACCATGTCATGCAAACATAAACATTCCTCATAATTTGGGGGTGGTTTCAATCTCTTGTTTTTCCTATTACATTGCAATTTAGAAATAAATAAGTGTCAAATACACACACACACACACACATATATATAAATGCTGGGTACCTTACCTTTGCATTGTAATATGATCTTGCTGTCCACGTGGATTTCTTCTACAGTAGAAAACAATACAATGAGTATCTCTCTTATAAACCATGTTCAAACTCAATTGCAAAGAAAAAAAGACAGGACTCAATATTTACAGCAATATAGAGTATGTATTTCATAACTGAGGCATATTGCAATATACTACAATATAATCAGCAAATGAGTTTTTAAATACAAGTTAATCACACAAAGCATTTTTTCCAAAGGTTTTTCAGTGTTCTCCTCAATGTTCTTATGAAGATTGACAAGGCAAAAGAGCAGCATTGCTGTTTTTATACATATTTCCACATGGATTTAATATTGTATTCTTAATTATGAACATGAATCACGGTATTTCAAATCAGAACTAGGAAGTTACAGTAAATCTTTACTGACTGGTCACAAAGTCAAGGGCCAAGTGTATTCTTGTAATAAATTGTAAATTTATTCTAAATATTACATGGTTGTAGATCTATATTATTAGAAATCTTGAAACATTACTGTATATTGTTCAGATACAACGATATCTATGCAGTATTTAATTTTATTGATAGTCTATTGTTTGTATAACTGAATGTATTGGAAATAAAAAGAAACAAATGTTCTGTCAATATGAATTACAATTTAAGATGTTATTACAAGCAGAAGTTACAGTAGTCCTCAACTTACAACAGTTCATTTAGCAATGGTTCAAAGTTACAACAGCACTAAAAAAAGTGACTGAAGACCATTTTTCTCACACTTACGACCATTACAGTATTCCCCATGGTCATATGATCAAAAATCAGATGCTTGGCAACTGACTCATATTTATAACAGCTGCATGTCCTGGGATCGTGTGATCCCCTTTTGCGACCTTCTGACAAACAAAGTCGATGGGGAAGCCAGATTCATTTAACAACCATATTATTAACTTAATAATTGCAGTGGTTCGCTTAACAACTGTGGCAAGAAAGGTTGTAAAATGGGGCAAAATTCACTTCAATGTTTCACTGAACCAAGATAAATTTTGGGCTCAATTGTGGTCGTAACTCAAGGACTACCTGTATTTGACTTTTTCATCCAAAATTGAACATAACATTAGAAAAAACAACCCAAATTGCAGAAAAGTATATGATACATAATAAAGGTTTCAAACTGATTGTTAGTCTCTGTTGTATAGTTGCTTTATACCAGTAGTGGGATTCAATTTTTTTTACTACTGGTTCTGTGGGTGTGGCTTGGTTGGCATGGCAGGGGAAGGATACTGCAAAATCTCCATTCCCTCCCCACCCCACTAACCTGCTTTCCAGCTCTGTTCTCCTGTGCAGGGCAACAAAAGAAGACCCAGCTCTACAGCTGGGACTCAGGAGGCAGAGAATAGATGGGGGCAGGGCCAGTCAGAGGTGGTATTTGCCGGTTCTCTGAACTACTCAGAATTTCTTCTACCGGTTCTCCAGAACTGGTCAGAACTTGCTGAATACCACCTCTGCTTTATACATACATACTGTACATGCATTATATATATATACTTATAGATCTATGTATGTATACCTACATATACCTATAAGTATATAATGTGTATAGGTTTATCTATATACCTGTAGATATATAAACACAGTATTTAACATACACATATATATAAACTACACATACATATAAACTATACAACATATATATAATGACAGAAAATGAAACATGACAATGCATAGTTATCAGAATGTTAACATGATAATTTTTTTCTCATGGTATATGTTGGGTGGGACTGGAATTTCAGCCAGGGAAACCACAACTTTAGAATTTGCATGTGAAAGCTGTATGGATAGTAACCCAGCCCTGTTTCTTGAGCACAATATAGGTGCATTATGGAGACAATAGCATGATTTAGGGCAGTATAATTTCCTGTTGGCTCTAGTAGAGAAGAAAACAGCAAGCAACTGTATAGATATGGCTGATGTCTCATTAGCCAGGTTTATGAGAAGGAAAAGAGACTTAGTTTATTGAATCCTAGAAAGTGGATATGTGTACTCATTCATCAATAAGTACATTAAGATGACCATTTGATAGCTTTGATACTTTTGCTGTCACTTGACTCAAGGGGAATTTGCTCTGTTTAGCAGATAGGAAAGATGTTTGTGTTTGCACCTATTTGTGTTCGCTATGTAATATTTTGGAAATATCTGTTCCTATTCTCAGAGAAAGAGAACTGTGTTACAGCAGAATGAATTAGAACTGCATAGTAAAGAAATTGGAGTAAGAGCTGACTCAAAGTTTTTTAGAGGGAGAGACAAAGTTTAAAGGTGCTTTGATAACACTCAATATGTTTTATGAAATGGGTGGATATCCACCCATTTCATAATTCTAGACTGTCCAATCTTTTGGTTTGCCTGAGCCTCACTAAGAGAAAAGGAACCGATCATCTTGGGCCATATAAAATATATAGTTAATGTACATAAATTTAAAATACAACTGTAGGGCTGCATTACTAGCTGTCCAGGGCCAATGATGGGCCATGGATTGGACATGCCTGATCTAGACCACTATTCTGCATGAACAATGTACAGAAATATAATTACAAAATTTACATTTGTGTTATTGTCAATATGAGGTAATGAATGAATGCTTTTCCAATGCCAACAGTTGATCTGCTCCTGTTTAAAAAAAGGCAATTGCTTCCTCTTATTATATTAAAAGGCAATTGTTTCCTCTTATTATATTATTATCAAGTTGGCTCTATGATCAAATTACAGCATTTAATTTCTGAATTAAATGGGGGGGGGGGGCTTGCAACTCATATAGAATCTGGACAGGCTCCGGGGATCTCTTCCGGGGAATCAAGCCTCCATTATCCAAACACTGCTGCCTGTCCTCCGGAGCGACAAGTTACAGTACAAGGCCAGGCAACTACTGTACGGTCGAGTAGTAAACACTGCGACGCGGCAGCCACGCTCGAAGTAAGTTAATGAGGCGGAACAAAGGAAAGGCAAGAAGAGGAGCGAGAACAAAGGAAGGCGGCCTGCCAAAAAAAAAAAGCCGTCGCGACGCTTCGGACAGCAAGTCAGGAGGAACTGCAGACCTTTAACGAACAGAAGCCGAAGAGAAGGGCAGAAAGCAAGAAAGCTGCCTGCGGCTGCATTTGAAATCGCAAAGCTGGATTCTTTATTCCAAGGAAAGACGGAACACGCTGGCCCCCAAGGGCTGGGTTGTTTTGTCTTTCCGTCTTTCTCCCTGCATTTCACTGTACAGACGCCTTCAGCAACTAGCGGAGGCGCTTGGAAATTAAGGCTCCCTTCATCCTGATCTGTCCTAAACTAAAGCACTTACTCCGGGGCTGCCTGCCTGCCCTTCGCACAAATCCTTCCACCAAGTGGGAATAAAGACCTAGAAGCTGCCATTCGCCCGACCTGCACTTCATCCCTTTCAATTTCGGCTCGGGGGTTGCGTGGCACGTTGAGCAAACCCAACTCAACCAGCTCAGACCGCGAAGGGTTCAAGGTCTTGTGCCACGGAGTGGTTCGGTCACCAGGTTAAGCGTGCTGGTGTGAACACAACCCTCGCGTGCCCTGCCTGCCTGCCTCTCCCTGAAAGAAAAGCCGCGTGCCCGGTTGCCTTGGGGCGGGCTCCGTCTCCCCACGCTTTTAGCCTGGGGTGCCTTTTCGACTGAAGGCATCCAGCCACGCTTGCCTGGGAGAATCCGTCCGTCGCCGCCCTGCCTTAGCCGGAGCGAGAGTGGCCTCTAAGCTCTACCAAGGTCGAGCCGTCAATGAGCCTTCCTGCCCCCGAAGAGCCCAGTCCCTTCGGCTCAAAGAGCTCTTCGCCCGGAGCGGCTGCTGCAGCCCTTTTCTGCGCCTACCTGAGGAACTGGTGTCATTTTTCTGCCTCTTGGCGTTCGCCATGATTGGGCTTCGGCTCCAAAGCTGCCTTCAAGAGCCTCCCCGGGGCTGTTGCTACCACAGTCCTCCCCGCCCCCGCATCTCCTCCTCCTCCAGTTGCCTAGATGGAAGACTGCCACCCTCCGTCGCCCGCCTTCTTCTCCTCCCCCGCGAAAGGGGCGCCTCCTCTCCTCAACTCTCCCCGCTTGCTTTTATCAAGATTGGGCGGGCCGAGCGCTCGTCTTAGTTCTCCGCGGACAGGCTCAGCCCTCGCCTTTGGCCTCGGAGGAGTGGGAGAAGCGCAGCGAGGCCAGAGGTTTTCGGAGAGGTGAAGTGTAATAGACACGCGTTGCCGTTTCCTATGATAAAGAAGCAAAGGAGGCTGGGATAGCCCGAAGGGAGAAAGCCTCCGTCTGAGGACCCACCAACTCAAGGTCCACAAAGAGCCAGCAGGCTTTCCATAATTGCCCCCTTGTTGTTTTAAAGCTGATAAAAGTGAAGGATTTGTCCACAAATCCATTCAGGATTGGCGCCCCATTCTGGGATCTTGACCTGGCTTCCAGCATTAGGCGTACTGCTGATTTAATACGGACTGTGAAACGACTTTTTATATTGTGGGAAGCCACCCACCTCCTAGAAGAATGAAATATTTTGAGAAATATTTTAAAAAAGGCAGGATAAAATGTTTCCCCTAAAAGAGAAATAAAAATCTTAAGGGAGACAGAAACACGGAGCCCCAGCTCCCTCCTATGTTTGTGGCCATTAAGAAAGACTGGGCCATCCTTATGTACAAAACAAAAGACCTTCGGCTCGAAGATGATGAGATTATTAAGGCATGACCCTTCAAGACACAACAGAATTAACCCACTATCATTTAGCAGCAGAACTCACTACATTGCACAATATCTTAAGGGCATTGCGTCACCCTCCAAACTTAGCTCAGACAACCTATAGAGCCAGCTATGACCCCTACAACAGCCAATAGAATACATGTTTGATTTGTCAATCACTTACAAGATACAAGTATAAGAATAAACATAGTTTTGAATACATGAGATAGATACTTATAAGAAAAATAAAAAGAAACAATGGGACAGGGACGGCAGGCACACCTTTCTTGCACAGGAACAGGAAGCTCAAATACAGAGCCCAGAGGGAATAAAAGCCACCCACTCTCAATTCCATGTGATCACTGCCTAGAACTATCCATGTGGTTCTGCTTCATCATTAAACCATCCTTCCAATCAGCTCCCTGCTCCTGGCTACTTTCCTAGGCCAGCTTGCCTTACCAATAATGAACCAAGACGCAGTGAAGGCCTTGTACATTAAAATTAGGAGATAATTTATGCAGAGTGTGTCAGTTAATATTAATCAGCTATTAGGCATACTTAGCTTTCAGTTCTTTCCTGTTTTTCAGTTTAGTTGCGTTTCCTGTTATCCCAGTCTTTCCCTGGCTAGCCATTTCTCAGAAGCTGTTTTTACAGCTTGTATTCTTCCTTTTCCCACTCTAAAATCCCTGCTAAGTTTTGCCTACGAAGTTTCCACTACACAGCAGATTCAAGTTTAAAGTTTTCTTTACATTTACATTTACATTTGAAGATCATTCACTTAATCTTATCACATACAAAGAAAATACAGTATATAATAAAAAATGGAAGGAAAAAATGGGGAAGATAGAAAAGGCAATGGCTTCTGACTCCTTTCGTGCAGGAAAATAAGACATTAACATCAAACCTCAACTTTTTACTTTTACATAGTAATTTGAACTAATCATTTCGATAACAACAAATATATCTAATCAGTAAAACCAAAAATCAAAGTTTCATTTTTTTTCCATCTCAAGCACAAAGTCTAGAAGCGGTTTCCAAGAAGAAATAAAAGTATTTGCATTTTTTTCTTTGATCAAAGCAGTCAATGTAGCCATCTGTGCTAACTCCATTAATTTTTGCAGTCCACTGTGGGGATCGAGATGACCTTCCATTTTTGTGCAAAGAGTAGTCTTGTTGCCGTTAACATGCATAACATCAAAGTTCCAATTTTTTTCTGAGAGGGAGGGAGGGAGGAAAGAAGGAAGAAGGCAACGAGAAGGAGGGAGGCAGGGAAGGAAGTAAGGGGGAAGGAAGTAGGAGGGAAGGAAGGAAAGGGGGGAGGAAGGGAGGGAGATTGGAATGAGAGGGAGGGAGGGTCTGAGGGAAGTCCTGCCTTAGCAGTTGGCCACCAGAAACCCAGCTGCCCTCTCGCCATCCTCTTGCCCCCCTCCTGATCTCTCCTGGTGGTCTCCCATCTTATAGTTGAGGCTGCTTTGCTTAAATGCCGGGTCTCTCTGCATGGAGAGGGAGTGGGCCTCCCTCTGACCCACATGCTTCCATCCCACACCCACCATGAGTAACCTAGCCAAGGAAAGGGAGCACAACAGCAGTAAATGCAGCTGCCCCCCCCCCCCCCCCCGAGAGAAGCGGGGCTGGGCTGGGCTGTAGGGTCTTGGTACTCCAGAAGCTTGAGGGCTCGAAGAGCCTGCACTGGTACTCCACTGCCCAGGGCTCTTGGTACTCCACTGCCCAGGGCTCGAGGAGCCTGCACTGCTGTCCAAGTGGCCTGAGAGGGACAGTAAGGCTCTTTTGGTGAATGAGGCTTTGGGACTTGCCCTGGTCTCACCTTCCTCCACTAGAGACCTCTGGATCCCCCTCCCAGCCTTGCCTGCCCCACCCACAGGAAGTGGAGGACAATGCTGCTGCATGTGGAAGTGCAGAAGAGAAAGTTTGCAGGAAGTAGTTTCCTCCAAGTCCAACTTCTGCCTTGACAGATTTCTGGAGAGGAGGAGGGGTTGGGGAGGGAGCTGCATGAGGGAAGGTATTCCCTTTCCAGCCTCCCTCATACAGGACTAGGGAACACTGCTCTCCTGCCTCCTCCTCTTGTTCTCCCATGCCATAGGATGCTTTCATGTATAATTATATTAGCTATAGTGAAAAGGTCAACCTGTAGAGTACACAAGTTCCCCATAATTAGAATGGCTGCTTATAAATGAGATATTTATTGAATATTCACTTTGCCTCAAGTGCTGCATGGGTAGGGCCCATATGGAGTTAATTTTTACTTTATTGCCTATTTTTGAAGCAAAACTAATAATACAAGAAATTAAGGATAGATAGTTGGAATATATGCATAATATCTTCTGACTGATAGAGTCAAGAGTCAGTCATCCACTTGGAAATATCTGTTGTAATAAATAGCTAAGCTTTCGCTACTGTGTTTTTAATTTTAGATTATATAATAGTGTTTATAATTATGTCCATAACATTTGTTAATTAGTTTAGTTTAGTTTACTTTATTGTCATTGCACCTCGTACAATGAAATCAAGTACCATCTTCAGTGCACATCATGACCATGAAAATAAACACAACCACACATCCTTCACACATTGAACCGGAAAGCCCCGACACCACACCCTGCACTTCAGAAAAGCTACTGCCCTGGGATAGAAGCTGTTTTTCAGCCTCTTTGTCCTTGTTTTTATTATTCTGTACCATCTGCCAAATGGTAATATCTGCATAGTATTTGTTTTATTTTATTTATTGGGTTTATATCCCACCTTTACTATAGATAACATATAAGTCACTTTATAAGTATTTTGGTGCCCTCAAGTCTGCACTGAACCTGGGCAAGTTCCTACAGTTTTCTTGGCAAGATTTCAGAAGTGATTTGCCATTGCCTCCTTGCTAGCTTTTATCAGTATAAAGTTTATAAGAAAGTGATTGGGTCAAGGTCACCCAGCTGGCTTTGTGCCAAAGGCAGATCTAGCACTCATAGTCTCCCAGTTTCTAGCCTAGCCTAGTCTAAACTAGGTTTTAACACCAAATCCATTTGGCCCTGATCAATTTACAAATTTGCAATTAATTTTATATTGTACTCATCAGATAATAAACAGCATCAGTGAAAACTGAGGTTCACTAAGAAGTGCAATTATGAAGCTGTTTGAAACTGTTTGTGTAACATGAAGATCCATTTAATCAAATTAACTGAACTGCCTACAATTTGCACAATACACTAAATAATACATTAATCTAACAGGCTTCATTAATCCAACATGCTGAACAATTAGTAAGAGAACCATACACTAATTCATCATGTTTCACATATCTAGCCTGAGTTTGACAAATCACAGTTTGCAAATTTAAATGACACCCATTTAAACTCTTTTGCAGTTCATGGAAATACTCCAGTTTCAGCTGCTTGCCTGTGACTTTTAGAGTATGCCTATTTCTATAATTTCACTTTGTTCTATGTCCTGTCCATGAAAGGTTTATACCTTCTAATCAGCTAATCAACCACACCAATCTTACATAATGCTTTAAGTTTTCGAAATGTTTTGTAAGTTAAATGTAAGACTACTACCCATGTTGTAAATCTAAGACAGGAAGGGGTTACTTCCTTGGATTAAAGTTTAATCTGTCTGTAAAACCACAGAATTGGGCAATAAATGTTACTGCTTAGATAGCCATCCAGTAGACACTGATAAATATTTAAAAATTTGTGACTGATGATTTTGTTGGATTCTCTGAGTGCTATGCTAAGAGTATCTGCCACAGTGGTTATTTTTCTGGCCATAACCGATATAAGATTCATTGAAGAATATCATGTTGAGTAACTAGAAATATAATTTCATTACCTAAACTGTAACAGCTTGCATAAATATATATCTCTGTTCTACTTATGGCCATTTTATATTGGTCTCATAGTCCATTCCTACCCTGTTTCTCCAACAATACGGCCTCCCCCAATAGGAAGTCCCAGCATGTTTTATAGGCATGAAATTAAGCCCCTCCCCCCAAATTAAGGCCTATATTAAAACATGCAAAATGGGGGGGAATGGTGGGGGGGCTTGCCATTAGGAAGTACTTTTGTTGCACACCCGGATATGGTGCTGTCTGCGTTGACCCCGATACGAAGTGCCCCACCAACATTGAGGTCAACATCCAAGTCGTCGCCACCCGCCCAAAGATGCAAGGAGGGGGGGAATTAAGTCACCCCCGAAAAGACGGCCTTGCCATTTTTTCGGGGCTCAAAAAAAAAAAAAAAGACCCAGCTTATTATGAGAAACATGGTATATATTGCATAATGAAGTCTTTATGATAAGAGCAATGCATTTTATTAATATACATGAGAAGCCTCATAAATAATTTAAAAAATAAACAAGCCAGGATTTGAACATAGAATTGCGAGTTCACTCTCCTTTTAGATTATCTCAGCTGAAGATCTTTCCTCTTAAATTACTCTATTTTTTAAAAAAACAAGTTAAAGAAAGTTTCCTTTACTCTTCTTTTCCTCTTTTTCTTTTAACTTGTGCTTCACAGATTATTTGTACTGTACTTTGATCCTACAACAAGATAATCCATACAAATTCCTGGGTTTGAGTCATTTTACAAGGAAAGTTGGTGGCAAGCCAAAACGCTGTTCAAATTCTAAGGCAAAAAAAAAAGTCTAGATTTTTTTTTAAAAAAGTGCTTGCTAAAACCATCAAAATATCTTTTGTCAAACATCTTTATTTAATCTATAAAGCAGAATCCCCATATTAACATACTTTTGCTATGGATCCATTTTATCTCTATGAGCTGTATCAAAAACACAGTGCAAATATTTTCATGTTAGCAGAGTTATAATTAATATACAACTACAGATTCCCAAGTTAATCAGGGGGGATTTTGAAGACACCTGAAAATCAGTGGCATGAGCTAGAAATTTTTAAATTGTGTGTCAGGAAAACTTCCCTGAATGATTACTACTAAAGATCACAAGTAATGATTCTAAATACAACCACAAGCATATGATGTAGGAATCACATTGAGTTTACAAGGCCCATCAATAAAGCTGAAAAGACACTTCTGAATTTCATATCAAAACATTCTGCAAAAGTTTTGCCAAGTGTTTTAAGAACTTCCTAGAGACCAAGAAAGCATTTCAGAAATGTGTTGGAGACGGGAACCTTTCAAGCCACTGGATCAAGGGTCTCCAAACTTGGCAAACTGAGCTAACATGACTGGAGGAGGAATCCTGGGAGTTGAAGTCCACAAGCCTTAAAGCTGTCAAGTTTGAAGACCCCTGCGACTGGATCATGAACTGTCTTCTGTATCTTACACTCCACAAAAGTCAAATGAATATTAAATTTCATCCAGTTGGGGTAAAACAGATATTCTCAAGGCACAATTGTATTTTTTTTTACTTGACATATGAAACCAATAATGATAACATTCTATTTAGGTATGTAACTATACATATTAAGACCCTTAACATTTATTACACTTACTTATTAATCAAATTTGTATAGTTGCCTATACAAATACAGAGTCCCTAAAAAAAGGACTCTGGGAGGCATACAAGAATTGGTTAAAGAATAGATTTAAAAACATATAAAAATCTACATTAAAAATATTATTAAAACAGATATACAAACCATAGGCCAGGGTTCCCTAAACTTGGCAACTTTAAGACTTGTGGACTTCAACTCCCAGAATCCCTCCTCCAGTCATGTTAGCTCAGGAATTCTGGGAGTTGAAGTCCACAATGCTTAAACTTGCCAATTTTGGAGTCCTCTGCCCTAGACAAAGAAAGAATATGAATAGCTACCTCAGCAATGGGCCCTTCCAAGGAAGGCTCTAGTTCCCAGCTCTGATGACATAACCAGGTTTTGAGCATGTTCCAGGATATCAAAGGCTAATCTAATTTTGAGAAGAGGGTGGGAGAGGATGTTCAATAAAGCCAGCACCATGGCAGAGATGTCTCTCCCTTCTGCTCCGAAATGTTATGTTCCTGGCTGATGTTCCCACAATATGCCTTCTCTGCCAGATCTAATGGGATGGGCTGATGGTAACTGGTGATGCATCAGATAGGATGGTCCCATGTTATGGAGCCCAGTCCTATGTCTTCTTTATGAATGAGACACATAGCTGGGTTGTTGTTTTTTTTTTAGGGCAGGACAGTTTTTATACAATACAGGTAGTCCTCGACTTACAATCACAATTGAGCCCCAAATTTCTGTTAAGTGAGTTTTGCTCCATTTTCTTGCCAAAGTTGTTAAGTGAATCACTGCAGTTGGTAAGTTACTCAGTGGGTAAGTGAATCTGGCTTCCCCATTGACTTTGCTTGTCAAAAGGTTACAAAAAGTGATCACATGACTTTGGGACACAGCAACGGCCCTAAGTATGAACCAGTTGCTAAACCTCTGAATTTTGATCACATGACCCTGAGGATGCTGCAAAGGTCGTAACAGTGAAAAAAGGTCATGTCACTTTTTTCAGTGCTGTTGTAACTTTGGTCACTAAATGAACTGTTGTAAGTCAAGGATTACCTGTATAAAGTATTCCATATTGATTAGTGTAAGTACTTTATAAATTAGATTTAACAAAGATTTAACAATGTGAATCAATTCCTGCTTGGACAGAAATCTTTGCCATTAAGGATCTTCTTGACTGACCAATCTCACAGAGTTTGCTATGAAACTAAAAAAGAAAAATAGGCTAAAACTGAGTGATAAAGTAATCATTTGTACATTTTGTTGCTTTTGTTAAAATCAGAAAGCTACAAATAGCTTTCAAGTGCATTCACATATTTTAATTAGCCACTGAACTATTATTATTGAATATGCAAATTACCAGTTGAAAGTGAAGAGTCTTTTGAGTGGTTATTCGCTTTTTGCTGGACTTCCCTTTTAGCAAAAAAGGCTTATTTGCTTTTAATTCCCCCCCTCCCCGTGCATTTTGTAAGCCACCCAGAGTCATGACTGATTAGGGCAGCCTTTATATAAGTTCTTCTAGTAGTCATTTTCTTAAATTTTGTTGATGGAAAAAACACACGACATGTATTCAATTTAGCATGTTTAATTTTTTCCCTTTCTAAGCAGATAATTTTATTTCACAACTTTTAAAATGTCAATTTCATTAATAAAGGCACTAGAAGAAATTGCATCAAAAACCACTTTTCAAGTAATACCAAGTAATTCAGCAGATTTTATAGTTTTTTATACCTGAGGCAGAATTTCCTTCAATAGAGATTATTCATAGAAACATTAAGAATGAGACTATATAAAACTGTGATGTAAAAAAAGAATGAAATTATGAAAACCCATGAAAGAATCCCTGCACAGTTAAGGTGATTCCTAGCCATAAGAAAGAATGATTAAATTAGTCTTAAAATTAAATTTTGAGATATTCCAGAATAAAAGGGATGTAATATTTAAACAGCATACACAATAATGGACAAATATCTTTGTATCAACCATTTTTTCCTTTTTCAATTCATGATAGGATATTTCTCTTCAATGAACATTTTTTAAATAGTTAACAAACTATACATTGTTTTCACAGAATTACAATACCCTTGGACAACTGGAAAACAGCTATTTTGTGGTAGGGACAAATATTACATACATCATACAATGTCAATATACAAATAACTGAATGATGACAGTCATATTTTTAAAGTCTTTCAGATATTTGGTTTTTGCCTTTGTGGGTACTTTTCTTCTATAAGAAAAATCAAAAGAGATATTGATTCATTGTGACCCCAAGGATTGACCTTTTTAAAAAAAAAACTTTATCCTATGCCGTCTTCAGGACCTTCAGTTTAGAGCAGAATTCATTGACAATCCTATCTACTTAAGGCAGTTGCCAAAATATCCTTTTCGTCTCTAAAAGAGGTGCCCCAGATCCTTATAAGTTTAAGATTGCTGATGAAAGAAGTGCTACATAAAAATATACAGATTAATGTCTTCTGGCGAGTAGACAGTCTATTTGCATGTTCACTGTATCCTTAGGACAGCTTTGTAACAATAAAGGGCTCTATCATGTCAGAAAAATCTTGTTACAGGTCTCTGTTAGCTTCATACTGGCACATACATGCAGCTCTCTGACTGTCCAGGTATGGCTTGCATCCGAGATGTATGACTGCATCAAACACTAGTTGTACTGTAGATTCACAAGCTGCAAGATAGGGAAATATCTTTAATAGTACAATAAAGAGAAGCTGTCATTACCTGCTTGAGGAGAAAAGATAAACAAACCACAGTACAATCATATCTTTGGGCAATGGGTGACTCAAATCACAATTAATGTTATGTTATTTAACAAAACTGAAGTTGCAGAAATTAACCTGCAAAGTCTTGGAATTAGAACTGTAGTGTTTAAAGAAGCTTGCTAGTCATATATTGTATATAGTATTATTTTATTGCTAATGACATTGGGAATTATTTTGGAGCAGCTAACTATTGTACGTCTTCTACATTAGTGTAAAAAATACAATATGATCTTGTATTACAGTTTTCTTGGTAAACTTCATCCAGATAGCTAAAATAGGAGAAATTAATAATTCAAGAGTATAGACATACAATCTGAAAAGAGCTGCAAATAGCTAATTTCCCTTACTTCCCCAGCTGAAACATTTCTACATAATCAACAAATCAAAACAGTAAGTATTAAATATTAATCACAATAATATTAATGCATATTTGTATGCACAACTGTAAGTATAATTTAATTACTCCTACAATATCAATAAATTATCACAAATATGTTTATTAAGCTACACAATGATTTTTTAACTAGCAAAACTTGGACATTTTTATTCTCTCTTCATTCTCTTCCTTGCAGAACATGTTTTAAACCCACATTTAAAGGAAGTAAAGAGAAAAAAAAATAGATGGAGAAACAATTAGATTAGCCTGCAAGTAATTTAATCCTGAAAACTAAGTGGATGATTTAATCTGAAATTTTAAGTAAAACCTAATGGGGGATTCTGCTATGTACTTTATTTAAACATGATTTCCTTTAAATAACTAGCAAAAGTATATACTTATCCATTTGAACATGTAGAAAGACCAAATTGTAGATAATGCAATCACGTTAACCTGATCTTCTGGTTTAAATTTCTGTTTAGTTGGGCTCAGATTATACAACCTTGGTAAATCTCTGTCACACTGTATTTCTCAAGAGTGGCTTACCTTGTACAGACTCAGCTATTCCTAATGTCTTCTGTACATCTCTGCAGATCTTTGAAAAGCAATATTGAAACTGCTCATCACAATCATGTTTTTTGTTACCACAGGTATCGTAACATCTGTCATGTTGATTGCAGCATTTTGTCATTGAAGGAATGCCAATGTCAAACTGAAAAACAAGTTCCAGTGATTAGCATCTTGAGAGTTAAATGCTTCAAGCCCATAAATTAAGAAATTGAAGGAGCCCCAAGAATGGATGAAAGGTGATAGGAATGCTGCAATGCATTGATCAAAGAAAAAGAAAACCTCCTCCAAACAATAAGTAAATTGTTTCTTGAGGAGAAGGCAGCAATATGATGACAAGCAGGGGAGGACACTTTTTAACTGTACTTTTTGAAAGTTGGAACTACAAGGAAGTGACAATAGTGCAATGACGTCAAACAACTGGTATGTTTTTCAGGCTTTTGTGCTTATTTGAAGAGATAGGAAAAGGGTTGGCAGGTTAAAATACACTAACTTGATTTAAACCTTTCCACTCCCAATTTCTTTGGTCTCTTCCATTAGCAGGAAATTATATTATTGATACTTTTCAATCTGATGCCAAATATTGATAATAGATTTCCCAGCTGGTTGGGAAAATCATATTGTGAGGGCCATAAATTTTTTTAGTAACAAAACCAAGTGAATAAGAAATGAAAATCTTAAAAATCATCAAAGTTGGATGAAATCTTAATAGATTTATCAGAGCAACTATACCACAGAAAAATGAAAGTCTGATTTAGCAATGGACTTCATACACAAAGTTCAAAATTCTCACTGAATTTATATCATTTGTGTAAAGATGCCATTATGCAAATGATGCAAAGTCATTATGATAGAATGCAAATTATGCATTATGAAATAGTTTGCATAATGTTGTCTAGTTCAAAGTACACTCAAGAGTAAAACCCACCCCACCTCAAATTGATCTTTTAAACTTTCACTGATGAGCCTCCATAAATTGTACTCTAACAGAATTACATTGATTTTCTCTATTATACCTCATTGATTTACATATTATCCCTATAAGTTATTTTCTGGTGCTTCAACTCTATTATCAAAGTAGAAAAGAGTTTTAATTCAGAGCTTAAAAAATTTATTATGGCATTGTAGATCAAGAATATTTTCATAAGACACCAGGAAATATTAGACTAAGAGATAACAAGATTCATCGTTTATGATTTGATGTGCTGTTCAACTCAGAAAACTTTGGGTAAATGAGTCATACAAAGAGAATCTGGTTGTTCTCAAGTTGTGAAAATTGGTAACAAGAGGCTGATCATTAGTTTTCTAAACACTGCAAAAATTAAATACTTGGATGCCAAGAAAAAATATAACTTACTCTCTATACTGTAAAAATTCACATTGACATTTAATTCAGATATACGTTGTTTTAGCACTGCCGCTTTCTTCAAAACATACATTCAGGAGCCACTCTTTAATTAGACACTAGCGGTGTGGACAAAATGGAACCTGCAAAAAAATTATATTCCACAATTCTACTGAACCACTCTGGGTAAGCCACAGTTCAGGAGAACCAAGACTTGGGAAGCTTTGATTATTCAGTGTCTGGATGAAATAAAATTAAATAGGATGTGTAGGACAAGGCTGCTACACTTTCGCCCTTCTCTTCTGTTCTCCACATAACAGCACTTGTCATCACTCATCCACATCTTCCCAGTTCCTTCCCTCCCACTCTGCCATTGCTGAAGTCCCAGAATGGCATATCCCATTTCCTCAGCCACCCCATTGCCTTCCCTCCTTACTTCAGCTGCTAGTACCTTTGACTTTTCCTGTACTCTCAACTGCCACTTCTACCTAGAAAAAAACAAATTCATTTTGTTCTGTGCATAGGCCCAAACATCCAAAATGTGTGTTTGGACTAAGTCCCCTCATGGGTTCTGTGAAAGAATCAATTCATTCATAGACTATTCTGCACGTCTGTTAGCAACTTACATGAACTCCAAAGAGTGGAGAACCACATCCATTGGGTGGTGAAGGCTTATAGTCATAGCGAGGTAAAGGTTTGTATCCTGTAAAACATTAAGTGCTTAGATTAGAATATTTAAAATGTTTCTGATTTTTCCAGACTCATTCAAGGCAAAGCTAATAAATTATTAATCTATTATTATAGATATATAAACATTTATTCATTGGTTACATATCACAACTTTCAGGGACTTAAGGTATTGTACATAGCACTTTCTCCTCCAAACTTTTCCTCTTAACAATGACCTGGTGATGTACTTGGAATGAAATGAAATGCAGCTACCAGGTCATTTCCTGAATTTCCACTGAGCCTGGATTTGAACCAAGTCCCAGTTCCACATCCATACCACTTTTCCATCTATTGTCTGAATTTAACACAGTAATAGTCTTATTTTAATGGTACAAAAATGATACGCTAAACAACTTAATCTCACAGTACTATACACGTCTATTCAGAAATCATGCCCCTTGAATTGAGTGAACTTACCAAGTGAATAAATATAAAACTGCAATGCAATTCTCAAATTGTGAACAAATAGATCACTAATGTCTTTGGAGTTATCATCTGTTAATTGTTTTGAAGTGCTGTACTGGATACCCATTATGAAATCAAAATGCCAGTCAGGGGTTGTTGTTGTTGTTGTTTTGATAGCTACTTAGTTTGGCCATGTTAATAAAGTTCCATTAATTTACTTTAAACTTACTATGCAGAGGTTTATCTCTAACCACTTGCCCAGCTTCCCCTAATGATATGGGCATAAGATTAAGGTTGTGAAATCACAATAAATTCAAAGAATTAAAGCAATAAATAAACTGGATTTCAGTGAGTTAACCTAGCCTTTTAAGTACTGTTGAAAGAAGAAGGGATTATGTTTCACATCCATTTCCAAATTTTCTAATCCGTTTAGCAGAATTGACATAACCTCTTCTGCCTTCTGCAATATAATCCTTGGCATTTTCACAAAATAACATGAACCGAATATGTTTGAGATCATGATAAAATATAACAATAACTATATTATATGGAGTAAGGAACCAAAATAATGTTATTGCTAGTATTTTAAACAAATATTTTAGGCACCTCTTGAGAGTACAAATATGAGACTTCAATCCTATAAAATTTACCTGAGATTAAGTTCCACTAAATTTAGTACAACTATTTCTGTCAAATATAGGAATATGCTGTTCAATCTCCAGTTTATCATCATTAATGTTTACATCTGTCCTCTGCAACCCGTACGCATTGTGTGATTTGAATAACTATAATATATTTATAACCTGTTTTTTCTTCTGTTATAAAGCTGGCTGGAACTTCAGATTTGCCTGACCTTAGCAAAAACAATTCATATGTTTTCCTTGTTATTTATTTTTTTATGACATTCTCTCAACATACCTTTGAATAGGAAAAAAAACTAAATCCATTAAACATGTTTGGCTTTACAACGAATAGTCAAACATACATACACCTTTTTTTTTCTAATATAGTATGATTATTACCATCACTGCATTTATACTGACAGAGTCCATCTTCTCCTCCCAGGAGATCCAGAGCAGCGTTTAGATAAGTATCGATCTTATGAACACCGTTTCTGATCGTCTTCAATGTCATCCTCCAATCCGGAGTTTCAGGCTCCTGGCACCGGCTGGGCTCTAGCAGCACGGCGAGTAAGGCCCCGGTCACGAGCAGCGGCAACAAGACCGCTCGCCTTCCGGACATCTCCGAACGACCGCGGCCCGGAGTTCTACAACTCCCGCGCATGGAAGCCTGGAATTCTGGGTATAGCAGCGCTCGGAAGCGAAGGCTGGGTGGCTCCCAAGGCTAACGGGCGGCTCATTACGGGCACGGCGCCCCAGGAGCTTCCCCTCACCCGCGCGGGTAACGGTCTCTCGGAGCCCTCGCACCTGTAGTCAGCCGAGGCTTGAAAACGTCCACCATGCCGCAAAAAGCTTTCGGTACCTGCTTCCGCAACACCGTCAGGTCGCCCCGCCCCAACCTCACGAACCTCTGGGCAGAAGGGGGGGGGAAATGGGGGCGGGGGGGGGCGTTGCCAATCTTTTGGAAAGCAAAGTCGTGGCGCAAAGAGGGAGGCCTGGCGGGCGCTGCGAGAAGCACAGATTTTAAATCTTTATGTTGCCCTCAAAACTGGGCCTTAGCTCGGTGTCGAAGCCAATGAATCACCAAACACAAGGGGTGAAACAAGGGTATACTTTTATTTTGCTTCCGAGATATAAGGACCCTGGCTTTGAAAGCTGCCAAGGCCCTGATTACAGTTGTACAGCAATTATTTTTTTTTAGTCAGAAGTGAATTACACTCACCCCTTTGCCCTCGCCCTAATAATGCATGCATAACATGTAATAATTGATTGGTTACCTGGATTACAGTCCCCCCCCCCCAACTTTTGCTATCAAAATAGCTAAATGTCATGCCACCTGTTGCCTACTTCAGGTCACAGGTTTCTTGCAAAGCTAGTTTCGTGGTGTAGCTATGTGGGTTTGGGTTTTCTTGTAAGCTATTCTAGCATTCAACATCCTGGCACAGTGGTTTCTGACAGGCAAGTTGCCTTGCTTCCTCCACCCTGCGGTTCCCCCATTTCCCATAGTAGGTCCCTCACAATGCTATCAAGTATTGGCAACTGTATTGCAAATCCCCTATTACAGCAGGAAAGCAAAAGGAATAAAAGCTGTTTAATTGTATGTTTTAAGGCAAAGAAATGAAGATGAGAAATGCTTTTCCGAATTCATGTTCCTCACTCTCATATCCTTTATATCCACACCTAGGTCCTATTTCCACATATGACTCTTCCTCTGACCCTCAGAGCCTCATCTGCACATATACATGTTCATCACACCCACATCTGGGTCCTATTCCCACATATGACTCTTCCTCGGATCCCCACATCCGAAAGAATATATGTACATATATTCTTTCATCTGATCCTTCGCTTAAAGAGACAGAAGCAGTTTTCTCTGGCATTCAAAGCTTTCTAAATGTGATTTACAATCAAAACTGATTTGAAGGGACAGATTATTATATTATTATAATCTCAAAACAGTATGAAGCCTCCCTCCCTGCCAGGTGATTCCTTGTGTGAAGACCATCTGTTCCCAATGGATTTAATGGAAGCAATCGGTGGAAACTAATAAAGGAGAGAAGCAACTAAGGAGGAATTTCCTGACAGTTGGAACAATTAATCAGTGGAACAAGTTGCCTCCAGAAGTTGTGATGCTCCGACACTGGAAGTTTTAAAGAAGAGATTGGACAACCACTTGTCTGAAATAGTATAGCGATTCTGCCCGAGCAGGGGGGTTGGACTAGAAGACCTCCAAGGTTCCTTCCAACTGTTAGTCTGTTCTGTTCTGGTCAGTGAAACTTTGTGCATAGGACTCCTTCACTTGAGGACAAAATGTTAGTCTGTAGCACCTTTTCCAACTAACCAATTGGTTCAGATGTGTTGATGAAGTGTAAGGTGTAGTTTGAGAAAAGCTTTGTGTTAATACAATTTACTAGTCATAAGTGTGCTGCACACTTTTTTTTACTTCCATAAATTAACATGGAACTGCTACAATCTCCACTTGAGGGAGCATTTTATAGTGTCAATCATTCTCTTTATTTACCCTCCCCCTTCGGTGGATAAAGGAGATACTGTACAATAGAGTGGAGGGAACTTTGGAGAAGTGCTTTTTTTAAAACCCATTTTAAAAAGCTTTATTCCTTTTCATTTGCATTTTCCTTAGCTTGCTAATTTTTAAAAGGCAATGCTTTTTCACAGTTGGCCCCTTGAATCTCATGGGGTCACCTGACACACAGATCCATAAATGTTTATGTAGTGTGAGATCATGTGGCTTGTATAGGTCAATGTAATTAGCTAACTTCTGGCCATGTTGATTAGAATTTCTGGGTGTTGTAATTCCAAAACAAGTTCAAAAGTATTCTAGTAAACTTTTTTTTTCTTTTCCACCTCTTCCTTCTTATTACTGCCTGTTTTTTCCTATTTTCCTCATTCAATTATATCAGATTTTCTGAAACTGCCCAGAAAAGTCCTTGCAGTTTTCTTGACAAGGTTTTTCTGAAGTGATTTGTCACTGCCTGGTTCCTAGGGATGACTAGCCCAGGGTCCCCAAGCTGGCTTTGTGCCTGAGGTGGGACTAGAAGGTGGGACGTGGACCAGTCACTTTATCTCAGTTGTAGGAATGGAAAACTTGTCAAGAAAACTGCAGGATCTTGTCCAGGCAGTATCCAGGAATCGGACATGATTGAATGAAAGATTTTTTTTTAAATCATTACTATAGAACAGATCATGGGTGGGAACTGGGAGAGACCAAAATGGTCAACCATAGTTTATCTGGAACTACATATAATTTCATTTTCTACTAAAACACACCATGACAAAATATATATGGACTTTGTTTTTATGAAATATTTCTATTGGTGAATAGTCACCATATTTTTATTAAACGGGATGGTATCTTTTGAAATAATAAACTGAATATTCAACCATGTCATGTCTGGGTATTTTATAACATAATATCAGGAATAATCTCTGACATCTTTTGATCTGATTCCCTGCCTTAGCAGGAATTATTGAATCATAGAGGATGATGGAAGGAACCAAACAGATCATCAAGGCCAATCCCCTACACTGCAAGATTCTCTAATGGTAAAGTTTCCCCTGCCAGTTGTGTCTTAATCTAGGGGGAAATTGCTTATCTTCGATTCACAGCTGAAGCACCAGCATTGTTGAAGATGCTTCTGTGTCATGTAGCCGGCACGACTATAGCCAAAAGCGCTGTTTTGGCCTGTTATCTTCCTACTGAAGTGATACCTATTTATCTACTCACATTTGCATGCTTTTGAACTGCTAGATTGGCAGGAGCTGGGGCAAGTAATAGAAATTTACTCTGTCATATGATACTTAAGTCTTGAACTACCAACCTTCTGGTCACAAGCCCAGTATCTATCTAACCTATGTTTGAAAATCTCCAGTGAAGGGGAAGCATCTGCTCCATGTAGTAGCCTATTTCACTGACTGACAACTTTTACTACAATATATTCTTTTAATTGTATAATGTATATCTACATCCCTAAAGTTTCATCTCATTAGTTCTTATCCTCTGGAGCAAATGGGAATAAATACTAAGCCTCTACAATGTGACTACCAGTGACGACAGCCATCATGTCTCCTTTCAGTCTTTACTTCTTCAAACCTAGGTCTTTTCATCTTTCTTTGTAAGACTTGGTTCCCAATCCTTTCACTGCCTTGGTATCCCTTCTTTGGACATGTCCTTAGACCATGCCCTAAAAAAAACCCTCCAGTGATGGAGCACTAACAACTCCAAAAATTTCATTGCTTAATAGTGCTCAGGAAATGACTCCTTATTTTGAATTTGCATCTCATTTAAGTTTCAACATAGGAGTTCTTGTCCTACCTTTAGGCACTATAAAGAATAAATTTACGTCCTCTTCCTGATGACTTCTAATAATGAAAGACTGTGTCATGTTTCTCTTTAGCTTTCTCTTCTTTAGGTTCTTTTACTATTCTTCATAGAATTCATCCTCTATGCCTTAATCATCATTATTGCTCTTCTTTACCCTCTTCCTATTTTCTCAGCACCCTTCTTGTGTAGAACAAAACCAGATATGATATCCCCTGACCAGCACGCAGAGGAACAATAACTTTCCATGATATTGATATTATACTTCCATTGGTGCAGCCAAAGATAGAACTGGGCTGAAGACAGAACCCTTAACTATCCCACTGTATACCTTCCTTCATGTAGACATAGTTCCATTAAGCACCATATGTTGAATGAATTCATTGGGTGATGGATTATCCACATTATTACATTTTAGGTTTGATTAATGAGGTCAATCTGTTTTTCACACCCTGTTGCTTTGCACCTGAGAATGGACACGTTTCCTTGGTATCATGTCTTGTTTGCAGATTGCCAATTCCATTCCCTTCAGCAGTGATTCACTCATCTCCACTATAGGCCTGTAGTTCTTTTGGACAGCTGTCGAATTCCACACTTCAGTGGAAGCCTGAGCATATTCCCTGCCCTTTCTCTTCCCTTCCCTTCCCTTCTCTTCCCTTCCCCTACAAAGATTTCTTAAATGAATGCTCTTTCCTAATTTTTTATCTCTCTTAAAGTTGCCTGAACCTTTTCCTGATCACAACAATGCCTCCAGCATTGTATATCTATTAACCTTGTAGTTATTCGCATGTCCACTGCTGAAAGAAGAAACATCCTAATTCCGTCAAGCTTCCTTTTGTTTTCCCTTTGGCTTGTCTTTTTGCATTTGTGGTTCAATTACTTTCCTTTCTCTTAGAAATGTATATAGATTACTTTGGGTTCTCTGCCATTTTAAATAAGAAAGAGAAAAGAGAAACATTGTCCTTGCTGTCTTGCAAGTAAATAAGCTTTTACCTGTAGCTGCCTGTCCAGGACTTAATCTTTTTCAGTAGATACTACCAAATTGAGATGCCTTATTCTGCTTATTTCTAAATAGTGGCAAACAAGTTTTTCATTCTGTGGCATGTTTCTAGAATATGAAAACCTGCCTGTGCTATAGATTTTTGTAAGAAATATGTGCCATTTGATATGTTTCACCTTTCTGGATTTAAATGATATGGAAAACAGTATGTAGTAGTACTCTGTTATATGCTAGGATGTATACTTATTTATAATATTGTTATATCACTAACATGTGTAGTTAGTGGACCTTAATACAAAACAAAACCAATGAGAAACTTATTGCTTGTTGCATGCATCATTTTTTTATTTGAATATACAAAGTGAATATATAAAAAATAGAGCAAATTTTTCTAAAAAGTCAGCAAGGTTTTAAAGCCATTAATGTAAAATTTTATAGGTCACTAAAGCTCTTCTTCTGGGGCATAATCCATATTGAAATAAGCTTTTAAGTACTAGAGATTTTAACAGGCTTAAACTCTACTTTTATATGTAATATGTATCTACTTAGGAA